GCTCCGCGTCTGTGTCGGCAGAGTGGCGGGTTCGGGCCCGACGGTTACCCGTCCCGGGCTCTGGGCCTGACCGCCGCCCCCCTGCGCCTCCCGCAGGTCACGGTCACCACCATCGGCTACGGGGACAAGGTGCCCCAGACGTGGGTCGGGAAGACCATTGCCTCCTGCTTCTCTGTGTTCGCCATATCGTTCTTCGCGCTCCCGGCGGTAGGTGCTCCCGCCTCCTCCTGGCTCCCAGGCGGGCAGGGTCCCCCCCGGGAGCAAGGCCACTCACAGAGGCTCCTGGGAGTCCCCTGCCCCTGCTGCTCCAGGAGGGTGCTTTGCAGCAGGTGTGGGTGGAGGCCGGTGGGGTGCGGCCGGCGCATTCGGCCCAAGGGGTCTCGGGGAGAGACCGACAGCAGCCGCCAGGCGAGGGCAGAGGCGGAGTCTGTCCGCCTGGTGGGGGCGCTGGTTCCCTTGCGCGGTGGCCTGGGCCCCGCTTTGACCCATGTCCTTCCGAGAAATCACAGATCCCGAGGGCCACACCTTCTAGCTCCCCGAGCGCGTGGAGGTGTACGCGTCACGTGTTTGGTGCACCTGCTGTGTGTGGTGAGCGTGCGTGGGTTGCGTGTGTGCTCTGTGGTCACCTGCGTGTGTCACACGGAGCATGTGTGCATCTATGTGTGTGCGTGATTGATCCCCTCTGTGGACGGGGAGCTCCCTCCCTGACGAGCCGGCCCCATCCATCCCGTTGGCGATCCTGGGGAGGCGGCCGCGGTCCCCCTCGGACGGGGCCGCCTCCTGCCCGAGCCAGCGTCCCGGTGCCGCCCCGTGTCCCCAGCACCTGTGCCCCACGGGCCGGGCCGGGCGGTGGCTGCCTGCGTGGACGCGAGCCCCCGTCTCTGCTCCTTCCCAGGGGATTCTCGGCTCCGGCTTCGCCCTGAAGGTCCAGCAGAAGCAGAGGCAGAAACACTTCAACAGGCAGATCCCGGCCGCAGCCTCCCTCATTCAGGTGACTCGCCTGCCGTCCTTGATGTCCGGCCTGGCGCCGGCAGGTTAAGTGCCGGCTGGTGTCCCTTCTGGGAACCAGGAACTACCCTCGGCCACAAAGCTCACGAGACCTTCTTGCTACGGGTCCCTCTGGAACACAGATGAGCCTGTGCTACCACACAGACGTGCTCGGGCCTTCTGGGGAGCGTGGGCGATGCCGACGGGGTGGGCACGGGAACGCGGGGTGCCCACCTCCCTCCCTAGAGGTCCTGTTGGAAGAGTGGGTCCTGGGGGGGCGGGCCAGGGGACGGGGACGTGCCCTGGCCCGTCCCGGGTTGGGGTGAACTTTCTGTGGGCCCCTCACCTTCCAGCCACAGTGGCCTCCTTTCGTGGTCACCCCCCTGCTTGGCACGGGGCGAGTCTGGGAGGGAAACCCCAAGGGTCCAGGGCCCTGCTTGTGCAGCACGGGTACCTCCAGGGTGTTCCCCCACATCCCACGGGGCTAGGGACTCCCAGGTGACAGCAGGTGAGGCCTGGCGAGCCGACAGCTCAGCCACGCTCTGGGTTCACAGGCCCCTCAGTACCCAACGGGGACCCCGAGGCCGCTGTGACAAGGCCTGGGTGCTGGAGGAGACAGAGGCTAAGAGCGGCAGGGTAAGGAGGGTGGCCTGGAGCCCCTGGATGCTCAGTTCTGTGACCCCAGCCTCCCAGATACACCAGAGAATGGCTGACTCTTAATTTAGCGCAACAAAGACTTAGGCCGAAAACCGGGTCCCAGACGGTTACCAGCCCCCGCCCGGGGGCAGAGCAGGGATGCGCGGGCCCAGGTCTCGCCCGGGGAGCAGCTGGGCGGGGGTCCTGGGGCACAGGCCCTGTGGGTGTCCAGCCGTAGATGTGGGGCCCTCTGCCCAGCGGGACAGCCACACCCAGTGCCGAATGCCCCTCAGGGACGGTCCTGGGGTCACCCCCGGGGCCCTGGTCTCCTTCGCCATCCGCCCCGGGCAGGGCCCCCTGCACAGGCAGCAGCCACCAGGTTTCGCTCAGCCAGGGGCGCCCCCTCATTCCTCTGAAGCCCTTCCGGACCCTTCCGGAACCCACCGTCTGGGGCCTGGACGGTGGACCTGGACGGGAAGGAAGTAGCAGCCGCAGCCATAAAGCCGAGGGGCCGGGCCCCCTCAGGCCTGGTTTTACGGCCCACAGCTTCTCCTTTCGGGGAGACCATAAATCAGGCCCGTAAAACCAGCCCAGGCCGCCGTGGGCAGGCTGCCGGCGGGAGGGGAGCACGGCGGGGTCCTGGCGGAGCCGGTGCTTGGGGGTGAGCACCCCTGCGAAGCCCGGGCTCGGGTGCTGAGCCCGAGGGGTGCGGACACGTCCGCCACGGCAGGACTGGGGCCCGGAGGAGGGAACGCGGACCAGACCCGGGTGGGAAGCGGGCGGCGGCCTTACGTTTGTGGGGATGGTGGGACACGGAGGTGGCACGTGGCCGTGGAGGGGCCAGGCCTGTGGCCGTCCCCTGAGCGTCCCGGGCAGGGAGGGCTGCTGTGTGTGTCCGGGTCCCCATCCTGGGTGGCGTCACGGCCTCCCACGAACCCTGCCAGCTCCCCTGTCTGCTCCCTGCTGTCCGTCCCCTGCTGCCTACCCGGACACGGCGTGTCCTCCACTCGGATCCCGTGCAGTGGTGTCCCCTCCTCTGGGTCGTTCCTGTGTGGCAGTCGCCACGAGCATCTCTCTAGGATGCGGGTCCAGAGCTCCCCACGGCGACAGGCCGTGCCCGGGCTCCGGGACCCAATACGTGGGCCTCTGGGAGGGGCCCGCCCCCCATGTCCCCCCACGCCCCCTGCCCCCCTGCCCGGTGTCCCACAGGCCCCGGGTGTCCTCGGTGTCTGTGTCGGTCCCTGCACCCGCCGTGCGTGCCCCGGGGAGAGGCAGCCGAAGGGTGTCTGCGTCTGCGGGTGGGGCCTCCGTGGCGCCCGAGCCGTGGGTACCGGCCCGTGGGTTAGGCCGTGAGCCGCCTGGCGCGGGAGCAGCCCCGGGAGGTGGGGGGGCTGGCACGCAGGCCAGGGTGCGGGCGGGCCCGGCGGCTGACCGTGTCTCCCCTGTGCTTGTTCAGACGGCGTGGAGGTGCTATGCGGCCGAGAACCCCGAGTCCTCCACCTGGAACATCTACGTCCGGAAACCCACCCGGAGCCACACCCTGCTGTCCCCCAGCCCCAAGCCCAAGAAGTCCGTCATGGTAACAGCCCCCACCTGCCTCCTGCAGGGATCCCTCGTGAGCGGGGGTGGGGTGGGGTGGGGTGCGGTGGGGGGGTGGGGAGGCCCTGGGGGCCACGGCTGCTGGCCGGGGTTCGGCCCTGGCATTTCAGCGGCGCCACATCAGGGCACTGGTGCCACTCACTCTGGGCCCTGGGGGTGGGCACCTGTGCTGGGTCCTGCCACCTGGGGGTCCCCCTGGCTCGGGGCCCCGTAGGGCTGGTGCTCCCAGGCCCGGACTATGGGAGGCCCACAGGGGGCGCCCCGGGAACAGGCCGGGCTGGGTTCTGGCTAGAGGTTGGGAACAAGGCTCTTGAGAGGGCCCTGATGTCAGGCTTTCTGTGCCGGGGACAGCGGGTGCCGGTCAGGACGGAGGTCTCTCCCCAGCTCGGGGAAGTCGATCTTCGGGTCGTGGTGCAGGGGGCTCAGGTAGGCTCTGAGCAAGAGTGTCACGATGGGGCCGGTGTGGGGACTGAGGGGGGCACCCAGGCCTCCCGTTGCCAGCCGCCCCTGACGCCTCTGCACTCGCTGTTCCCTTGCCAAACGCCCTCACCAGCTCCCACAGCTCCTCCTCCACGTCACCTTCGCCGGCCCCAGGCTGTCCCCCCGATGGCCCCCGCCGCGTGCCGGAACTCCCGGTGGCCACAGCCCTAGTCCCCACGTGCCCGCTTGTATGTTTACCTGCCCGGTTTCCTGTCCGCCGGCCCCTTCAGCCCGAGCCCCCAGGGTAGCCAGTTAAGTTTTCCCCCCCCCCCCTGCTAATAGCAGCACCCCTGTCTGCTGGCCCTGAGGCCTGGCTCCCTGGCTGGTGCCCTTGGGGGCTGCTAAGGGGTTCTGGGGCTGGGGACCCCCGGGAAGCGCCAGCTTAGTGCTCGTGGTCTTAGGTAAAGAAGAAGAAGTTCAAACTGGACAAGGACAACGGGGTGAGTCCTGGAGAAAAGACGCTCACAGTCCCCCACATCACATGTGAGCCCGTGGTCAGCAGTGCAAAGCTGAGGCCAGACCAGCCTGGTGGACACCATGCAGCCTCTGGTGAGGAGCCTCAGCTTCCAGGGTGGTGGGGACGGATGGGCTACTTCAGCCCTGACTGACCTGGCTGCCTCATCTCGCCAAGGCCCTGCTCCCTCCCTGGGACAGGACCCCACCCCTGAGGACCCTTCTCCCGCTCTGTTGCTGGCTCTGGCTACAGGTGCCGGGCCCTCACTGTCCCAGCCAGAAAGGTCATGCCTGCAATTGGCAGAAGGAGGTGGGCTCCATGTGTGCGACCTCCGTTTGGTTTGGGGGGCGCATGCCTTTGGTGCCACGCCATGTTGCCTCATGCCTGTCCTCGGACAGCCACATGCAGGTTCTCTGCTCTGCAGTATGTCACCAGCCTGTGGGTCTCTCCCCTCCTGACCTCTTCCTTCCCGCACTCCACCAGAACGTGTTGGCACATTACAGTCGGAGGGCAGTGTCGCTTGTCTTAGACGCGGGCAGAAGGGGACAAATGATATTGTTCCTGGACTGCTGAGCTGGGCTTCTGGGCCCGCCAAGTGCCCCGGGCGGCTGACCGTGTTTCCTCTCTCCCGCATTTGGTCACAGTCCCCCTGGAAGAAGGGGCAGTGTTCCGAGGGGTCAAGGCTGCTGCCTGCTCCTTTGGGGCTGTCGGGTGGGATCAAGGAAGCCCACTCCCTGGCCGGGCAATCACTGTGGCCCCTGCCGCAGGGCGTTGGGATCATTGGCCTGAATTTGGCCATCACAGGAGCTCCCCTGACGCTGGGCCCCCTCAGCTGCCTCTCGAGTGGGCACAGAAACACCAGCCAACGAGTGCCCGGCAGCCTCCCCCAACTCCGGGATTCAGGGGTAGGACCATTGTCGCCTGATGTAAATGGGGGCTCTCTGCAAAATGCTAATGGGCAGGTCGGGTGGGTAGAAGCCTCTCTGCAGCTGTCATTGCTGCTGTGGAACTGTCCATTCAGCTTCTTGTTGTTATATGCCCAGTGCCAGCCTGCAGAATGTTAATGGAGGCACGAGGTAGGGACAGTCAGGGCACCCTTGTGGGGTGGCCAGGGAGCTTTCCTTCCGCCCCAGCACCCAGTCAGCCCAGCCCCGAGTCGCTGTGTTTCTGGGGGCCTCCCGCCAGGCCCCGAAAGTGGCCCCCAGCCTCCCGGGCGGCACTGGCCCCTCGAGACTTCTGGTCGGGGAGAGGGGGGCCTCATCCTCCGCCAGGGCCCGCAGCCCCAGCTCACATGCAGGGGCTGGGGCAGCCACACGCCGAGGCACTCTGCTTCCCCCTCTAATCAAGACCGGAGGGCCTGGCTGCCTCGGTGCCTCGTGTCAGCACCCCTGCACACCCCGGGCCCTCCAGGCTCCCGCCCCAAGATTTCTCATGCAGGTCTCACCTGCTCACGCCTGTCCTGGTCGCTGTGATCCGCCCAGGCGCTGGCGGAGGTGGCACCTCTGGGCCAGGCTGGGTCTTTGGCATCAGGGAGGAAGACTGGCATGCTCTGGGGGCACGAGCACCCAGCTCGGCCTGGTTGGGGTCTCTCGGCAGGCTTCCTGGAGGAGGTGGTTGATGCTGAGGCCAGCTACTGAGGGGAAGGGAAGGATCAGCTGCCAGATGGAGCTGCCGCGGGGGGAAGTCAGTCGCGCAGCCTGGCGGATCATCGCCGCCACCCCCCTCACCCTCTCGCCTGGGTTCACCTGCACACCCAGGTGTGGTGGGTGTGGGGCCTCCTCCCAGGAGAGGCCCATCGCATTGCCGTACACCTCCTAAGACGGGATGGTGCCCAGGAGCCTGCGGGTGTCGGACGGCATGCTGGGAGCCTGACGGGCAGGGCGTGGCTATGGCAGCCCTGTGCTCCCTCCTGAGGCTCAGCCTCAGGAATGGCACGATGGGGACAGGTAAGCTCGGGCCAGCCAGTGCCTGAGGACGTAGGGGTTGGGGGTCAGAGGACAAGGCCAGCTGTGAGGAGCTCCCAAGACCCGGGCAGAAGGCACCCCTGAGGGGGGGAAGCGGCCGCGTGAGGGGCTGGGGCACCTCACTTCCTGCCTCAAGGTGGTCAGAGTCAACAGTCCCCAGCTCATGCTGCAAGGGGCTCCGTCAGTCACGAAGCCCGACCAGGGGACTCCAGTCTGCAGTTCCACCGGGTTCTGGCCTGTCGCCTCTCCCCTGGTGCATGCCCCTCACAGGACTATGTGCCCCGGATCCCACCCCCACCCCCCCCCTCACACGCCACTCTGCCCTGTGTCTTGCTCCCCTTGTGAATCCCCTGAACTGGGTGGCTTGTTGGGTTCGTGTGGACACTTGCCGAGCATTTTACCAGCAGATCCGCCGGATTCTGGGTTTAACATTCCTTCTTCCTGAAGGCCCGCTCAGTGACGGTTCATGGGGGTCAACCCGGTCTTTGCCCCGAAGCCTCCGTGAACCCGGGCACCACTTGCTGTCGGATGGGGGGCCCCAGCTTGGGGGAAGGCCCGGGTTGAGATACGTGATTTCAGAACGCCGGTATGCTAAGAAACCAGCTGTGCGGCCGCCTCGGAGTGGTCTGCCCCCTGACTTCAGGGCCTTCCTTGGACGCCGTGCTAATGCAGGACGGTGACCAGGCGGTGCATTATCTCTGTTCGGCCCCCCCCAGGAGTTTGTTGCTTAATAAAACCTGGTTTGTGTCTTTCATCCGGTGTGGAAAGTTAGCACGGTCCCGCCACAGGTTACCGTCACTTCCCCAAATGTTTGACCTGCCTCCCCTCAAACGCCTGGCCTGACTTCTCAAGGTCTACCTCCCGGGTCAGCTCCTCTGCTATTTTCCTGCTCAGTCTCCCTGCACTGCATTCTAGCACTCCAGTTTGCTACACCTGTGTCACAGGTCTAACCCACGGTTAATCCACCGTTAGTTTCGCTACTTCATGCCTCTCTTCATGCAGGAGGGCTGCCATTCGTTTGGCCTGTGTCTTCCTCATGACTTACACCTTGGAATTTCCGAGTCATTAGAACATACTCATTCCGTCACCAGGGTGACGTCACGTCACCATCCGCGGTTCTCGGAGAGTCTAACTCTGCTCCCTGTGGCTCCCCCAACTTTTTCTCATGACGGCTTGTTTCCGTGGTCTGTGTGCTGCCAGTTCTTCTCTTCTCAGGCTCCCTCTCCTCTCAGGTGCACTCTGTTGAGGGGACGCCTCTCTGGAGAAGCTGTCCCTTGCGCAGGGTGACCCCGTGAACCTGTGCAGAACATTTGTGGTGCGGGTTTATAGGCACGGGGTTTTCTAGACGACCGTGAGGGGTCAATGCAAACCCAGCCTCTTGTCAGAACGAGCCTGTCCCCACGTATCAGGGGGAGGCTTTTTACTTTTATTCTGAGAAAACAGGCCAACACCAACGAATTTTCATTTTTGTCCGCATTTGCCAGTGCGCGGGCTGGTTCGCTGGCTTCTGTCTCGCTTTGTGCGTGTGATTTGAGTGCACCCTCCCCCCGTCCCTCATCCAGTCCACACCGTGGCTCCTGGCGTGAGCGGACGCCGTGCTGCCCGCACACGGCCGCAGTTCCAGAGGCGGCTTCACTCCTGGCCCTTGGGGACGCCCCCCGTGGAGCCCATAGGAGACGTTTGCTCGTTCCAATGAGCTCGTTTGGGAGTTCATAGAGAGAGGCCTTTGACGAAACCAGGTCTGCTCATTGCCAAAATCCAGGTCCTCGTCCTGGCGACAGAGTGTCCCCAGCAAGGGAAGCCCTGAGCTCCTCAACGGCAGAGGGCTGGACAGTGACACTCCTGGTTGGAACTTCCCTGGGGGGGTCCCTCGAATCACGAGGAGAGTTTTAACACAGACCCGGGCTGCCCCCACTGAGATTTCAGGTCCCAGGGTGTGCGGGGAGGCCCAGGGGGCGTGTCCGTAACGAGTCCCCAGGTTACTCTGGGCGCTGTACCTGTGACCCTGAGGATGAGGCCGGGCACCGGGCTTCTGTGGCTTCCGGGGCGACCTCACCTGGGTTGGAGGAGAAGGTCCTCGTTTGGGGCCCCCACCTGGCCCCCGCACCGGGGTTCGGGTTGGCCGTTCATTATAATGGCTCTCTGTCGATAGAAGAGAGGGAGGGTCTCGGTGAAGACCACCCCGAGTCAGCTGCAGCTGACACACGTAGCGAGGAAAGACGGGCTGCTGTCCCCTGCAGTCGGGATCTTGGCGAGGATGCCTGCTCTTATCAGTTCTGCTCCGCCTCAGCCTGGAGGTTCTAGCCTGCAGGACGGTCCAGAAGCAGAAATCCCAGGCGGACGGTCCAGAGGCGGAAACCCCGGGCACCCAGGCTGGGAAGGAGCACATGAGTGGAGCCGGGTCAACACTCAAACGTCACGTCTACATCTGTGTTCCGGCAGCCCGTAATCTGAGGTCGACAGTATTTACGGTACCCGAAATCATGGCATCCTGGGGCGCCTGGGTGGCTCAGTCGGTGGAGCGTCCGACTTCGGCTCAGGTCACGATCTCGCGGTTGATGAGTTCGAGCCCCGCGTCAGGCCCTGTGCTGACGGCCCGGAGCCTGGAGCCCGCTTCGGATTCTGTGTCTCCCTCTCTGTCTGCCCCTCCCGCACTCACGCTCTGTCTCTCAAAATAAATAAATAAACATCTAAAAAAATTTCAAGATTTATATGAAAAGCAGGCCGGGTTTGAACATTCACCCAAGAAGATGTACAGATAAGCACGTGAGGCTATATTCAGCACCATCAGTTATTAGGGAAGCGCAAACTAAAACCACAATGAGATGTTACCACGCAATTATATTGGCTACAATTAAGAACGTTTTACCGCGTGTCGTGGTTTCACGAGGGACGCTCCCATCACTCCCACGAGTGCTGCCCAGGACGCGGGCACCGAGCCCTTCACGCGCTCCCGCTGGACACTCGAACGGCACAGCTGCTCTAGAGAACAGGCTGCGAGTTTCTGAGAACATTATGTGTGCACCTGCCGTATTATCCAGCCATTCCGTTCCTGAATGAGCGGAGGAAAAAGAACAGAGAGCAGACGTGTATACGGATGCTTGGACGTGGAATATCCCCGTCGTCGTGTTTTCTGAAAACCGGAAACAGTGCAGATACCCCTCGTGGTTTAGCCCCCACAGTGAAGTCCTCAGAAATCAGAAAGAACGAGCCATGAGCATACACACCGGCCTGGATACATGCCAGAATAATGATGGTGAGTGAAAGAAGCCAGACTGGAAGGAAGGAAGGAAGGAAGGAAGGAAGGAAGGAAGGAAGGAAGGAAGGAAGGAAGGGGAAGGGGGGCAGGGAGAGAGGAAAGAGAAGGAGAGAGAGAAAGAGAGGAAGGAAGAAAAGGAAAGAGTACATGTTGCTTATTCTGTCTGTGTGAAGGCCCGGGAAGGGCAGGCTGGTCTGGGACCACGAGGCCAGCAGGCGTGCGTGGGCGCGATCGGGTTGGGAGGAGGAGAAGGGCACAGGGAGGCCTGGGGCCGATGGGTGTGTTCACGATCTCGATTGTGATGACGTTGTCGCGTGTCAAAACTCACCGAGCGGCACGCTCTAAACACGGCCGCTTTGTTGTGTGTCCGGCACGCTTCAGTGAAAACGTAAAATAAAAATGTGGTGCAGAGCAAAAACAAACTCCAAAACCATTTCTTCAACGATGATCTGGAGAAAATAGTTGCGGCTCGTATTGTACACGCGGGGCTAATTTCACCCAGATACCAGGAGGCTCTGTGGGTCATGGAGACGAAAGGATAAAAGCTATAAAAACAGGTCTGGAGAAAAGGGATCCCGAGATTCTCACCAATGAACGGATGCCAGTAACCTCAGTGGCGATCACGGAAATGTAAATTGACGCGACGGGAGCTGTATTCATCTCGCGAGCCTTTGAAGAGTGAGGAGCCTCGTGGGCCAGGCACGCGCGAACCCTCAAGCTGAGTCACCACGTTGGGCGGATAAACGGATAGAGGCTCTACGGAGACAAAAACGGCCACTGCCGTGAAAATTCGAGACGTGTACGCCCTTGAACCCTTCCAGAAATGTATTCCGCACTTGCGTTGCACGTCTGCAAGACGACCCGTCGTCAGGATGCTCCTTTCTGCGGTCGCTAACCGGCAAAAGGTAGCCAGCCGTCTACACCCGCGGGTGGACACCCGCTTGCGGGAAGCACGGTGTGCGCGTCGAACCCGTGAGACGTGTCCGCGGCGTGCCCCCCTCCCCCGACGGCTGATCGCGGAGGCGACTGTACCTCAGGCTCAGAAGGGGAGGCCGTCTGCCACCACGTCTGCGCGGACGCAGTGTCTGCACCGGGGAGACCCGCCCACCTTGTCGCGCGTCCCACACCCGTCGGAAAACAGCGCCGGAGTCCCCTTCTTCAGGGGCTCAGCAGCGCAGCGAAGTTGTAAAACCATCTGGGCTGGTACGTGTGCTCAAGGAGATCTTTAATTTCCTTTTAAAAGTCTGCTTTATGGTAATTTGTTCTAAATAAATGTGCTGCCTCTTTGGACGTAATTTATTCATTGCTCTTTAATCCTCAAGGGTTTCAATTATGTTGCCTCTTGGTGGCGAGTTACTTCTAGTGAGTTGAGTTCTGCTGTCTCTATCAGCTCTTTGTTTCTTGCCTGAGCTTTGAGTTTTGCCTTTTTTCCCTCTAAGCTCATGAGACATTTATCTGCTTTATGTGTGTGTGTATATATATATATTTTATATTATGTATATAATATTTAATTATATATTTAACATTATATTTGTTATACATTATTTATATTATACATATTTATACATAACAGCACGTATCATATAGAATATATTTATAACATGTATTATTTATATTCTATTATTAATCTTTATAATAATAATATAATATTTAATATATGTAATATATAATATTTACTTTCTTAGCCGAAAACTACCATTTCACTGTTTTTGTTTTCTATTTCCCCAACTTGGGCTTCTATATCTGTGTCTCCCCTCTTCCTGATTATTCACTTTTTTAAAAACTTGAGTGAGACTCGCACCTAATGTATCTAAAGTCTTTCTTCTCCGAGGCGTTTTAGAAGTTACATATATTTTCCTCTGATGGCAACGTTAGCTGTGACGTAGATCTTACTGTGAAATGCGTTCCTTTTCGTCGCGTTCTTGGCCGCCTTTACGTTTTGACTTTCTCTTTGGTCTAAAGAAATGTTTTCCTGCTTTTGAAGCAGAACACGTTTTATCTCTGTTATTTCTAACTTAACAGCCTTACAGTGAGAGGACGTGGGCTGCAAAGTATTTGCTTTTACTAAGTGAAGATTCTCTTTGTGTCCGAGGGCAAACATAAAAGCATTGCTTTTGCAAATATTCCTTGGACTTGTTAAGGTTATATGCTCTGTCTGTAAAACAGAGTTTTATTTGTGTGCTCAGACAGATAACACGTACGTTGCGATGGATCGCGCACACACACGTGGATGTGTCCATAGCATCGTTCAGATCTGCCCCACCTTTCCTTATTATCACTACTATTTTTTTAAGTTTATTTATTTTGAAAGCGATAGCATGAGCAGGGGAGGGGCAGAGAGAGAGAGGATCCCAAGCCGGCTCCGCTCCATCAGCACAGGGCCCCATGTGGGGCTCAGACTCACAAACCGTGAGGTCATGACCTGAGCTGAAGTCAAGAGTCGGATGCTTAACCCACTGAGCCGCCCGGGTGCCCCTAGCATTATTATTTTTTAATCCGGTGCCAAATTCCGCGGCAGGAAAATTAATCCTTCCTTTACAGTTTTGTCCTTAAAAGCCGAGTGGCAGATTCGGGGAGTGGCTCTGAGTACAACCTGACGGCCGGCCTTCCTGGGGCCGAAGGAAGTTCTGCCATTTTGTCTTGGGTGACCCTGGGCAGGCCACTGCCTTCTCCCAGCCTCGGTTTCTGAATCCGCGAAATGGGGACCCTTGCGGGGTTGTTGTGTTGACCAAGCGAGTTAGAACACGCGAGTGCCCCACCCCGCCACCCGCCCCGGGCCTGTGTGTGGCCAGCTTCCTGGTGCCTCTGGCCTCCCACCTGGAACCCCTCTCCTGGGCGCCCACTCACCCTCCACCCAGCTTCTCACCCCACAGATCCTGGGGCTGGTTTTTCTTTTAAGGTTGTATTGCTGTCCCAGGGCTCGTGCTGTAAACGGGCTCGTCACGGATTTCCGAACTCACGGGATCACGTCCCACATGCTGTCTCGCCTTTCCCGCTCAGCTGCACGCGGTGCACCTCCTTGCTGGGGCATTCAGCCTGCAGCCTGAAGTCTCTCCTTCGTTCCGGGATGTATTAGTTTGCTAGAAACTTCCATAACAAAAGACTGCAGACTGGGTGGCTTGGGCAACAGAAATGCATCTCGCCCATCCTGCAGGCGGAAAGGTTTCGGGTCACGCTGTCGTCTTTCCTGGGCTTGCCGACGGCCACCTTCTCGCCACGTCCTCCCCCTGTCCTTCCTCTGCATCCCCGTTTGTCCAAATTTCCTGTATAGGGACACCCGCCATAGTGCA